GCCACCACAGGAGATAGAATGCTGTGCTACATGGACCATTGGTCTAACTCAGCAGGGCACTGCAAATGTTCTTGAAATGTTCACGTACACACTAGGAGAACAAAAACACCTAAAAAGAATGCCTTGTCAGTCTTCTTGACATTCAGCACAAAGGGATGTGTTTCTATTAACTTCTTGGCAATTGCCTCCACCTCTCCAGAAATGAAAGGTTTCTACAAAATGCTCTGAAATTACGAAATGGTATTTTTGGGTGGGAAGTCGCTCCTTCCAAACTTTTTCCCCTGCCAACCTAAGTTGGTAACCTTTTTTTTGTTACTATAAAAATAAGGCATGTTCCCTTTGTTTTCCTACAAAAATATATTGAGAATGATAAAATATACTAGCTTACTTATGTGACTCGCAACCCCAAATCCATCTCAAAGAAGGCATGCATAATTACGCGTCTTTTGAAAATGGACTGAGATGCTACTTAAAGTTCTACCTGATCTGTGTAGTAAATGAACTCTAGAAATACGCTGCATTATGATTCTTGGCCTCTGGCTTACAGTAGTAAGTAAAAGCTGTGTAACACCTACCATTTACCTTGCTGTTGTATTTTCAGCCTTCACTCAGTCTTGACTAGGTTGTTCTTTGCAGCAGACCTCAGGCAAGGACTGTGCCACTTGTTCTCCCCACATGCCCTTGACCTGCCTGATCACTTGTAGGGCCTGACATGATTTACCTCTCTGCTCCATCTTCCATCAGCTGATTTCCAACTATCTCAGATCTATTCCCTTCTGAACTAACATCCAGAGCAGAAAGAAACAGGCTATAGCACACTCTGCCTTAGCTGCGTCATCATGCTGATGTCTGCTGACATGAAACTGCTAAGATGATTCATCGCAAGTATAATACTCAAGTGGTTTCTTTTCAACGCAGACTCAATAGGCCAATTTCTTCTGTCTGCACCTCTGGACACACATGACAAGGCTTAATACACCTGGCAAGAATCCTGTCCTCAGCAACATTTTTTATTATAAATGTGGTTAGAACAGCATCCACACAGGAGCACATGCTCAGCCTATCTGAGGGCAGCCTACAGGGAGAAGGGCATTTCTGAACTGAGAGTCAAGAGTACTGTTATTCCGTACAAATATATTCCTGTCTTACTTTCATTCCCCTAGGTGATTTCCTTAAAAATGCTGAACTGAGAAAGGTAGCTTGCTTTATTACCAAAAAATGTTAATCACATTAAAAGCTCTCATATTAATTTTCCTCTAGTTTTTAATTATTTGTTAAAATTCATATTCTATACTAGTCTCAGATTTAGGTCCTCATGTGTTAAGATGAACACAACAACTTTACACTTCTCCTATAAATACTGTACTAGAGTGTCACACGCAGAAGTCGTGTGTTATGCAAAAAGGTTTTTTGATTTTCCAAGTAATCATTATGCCTGTTTTTAACTGATTAGATTTACACTGAAAGGTTAAATCAAAGTATGAGACTATGTATCTCTTGATATTTTATCAAAAAAATATTTAACAGGAAAAAAATTAATGAACAATAGTTCCTTCTCTCTCAGAATCATTTCCAGCTCACAGCATTGCAGCTTCAAAATGCTTTTACAAGATCAGTAAGGTAATCTGCACATTAGCACACAGACAGACAGCTACAACCAAAAAAGATGAAATCCAAATGTTCAGTAGAAAATGAGGAATTTTACTTCAAACTGGAAAAAAGATTTTCTATGAAGGCATGTGCTATTATTAGGCAATTATTAAGTGAGGAGATTCAGAAGAAACCTCATGTTTACCCAGGATTATTCTGTAACAGATCATTTCCATCATTCTGAAGCAACTGGTTTTGGCTTCTATAGACACAGAAACTGTCAGATGACCCACATCAATAGGTCAGCTCCAAATTCCACTCAGTTGTAGGTAAATATTTCTTGACAGTCATCTGGCTTAGTGATTTCTAGTCAGTCATCTCAACCTGGACGGTGAACGCCCAGCGCCTCACTGTTGACACAGGGCTTAGAGTGAGCAGCAAATGAAAGTGACAATTTTAGTTTAAAATTGAATGTCCAACTATCTTGTCCTAGTGAGAATACAAGTACAACAGGTACCAAATCACATAAGAATAGATTTATTTTGGAAAACAGAGATGGAAGGTGGGGTGGAATATTTCACACCAAGACTACAATAAACTCATCATAAACGCATCCAAGATCTTTTCCAGAATTCAGAATGGGTGATAACTTATGAGGTCTGATAATTTTATGATAATTCAAGTATTTGGGACTAAAATCTCTCAGAACCCTTTACAATATTGTAGCATTGTCTTTTTAGCTACTTGGTCAATTTTGGCCTCAAAACTGTATCTCAGCCACCTACCTTAGCCTAGTTCAAACCTGATCAGCCTCTTTTCCCCAAAACTCAAACATAATCAAATACAATACAAAACAGCTACCAAAAACTATGGGATATTCAAAAATCATCACAATGTATATACTAAAAAAGGTGTAAGAATTGAACAGTACAGTTCATATAACCAGTGCTGAGGACTGAACTAGGAGAAAAGAAACCCGGCAACAATCCTTTTTTCCAGACTGGCTTGCTGTTGATGCATTGCATGGGACATGTCTTAAAGAGCTGAGGATTTTTTTCCTCTAGGAAAAAATTATTTAATAACAAACATCTACATACATGGATTCGAACACTCCACAGAGTAACTTTGTTGTAACTACAGTGGTGGATCTAAGCCCATTGCTAAATGCTGAGTTTTGCCATCTATCACAACCTGTTCCTAGTGGAATTTGAGAAACTTTCCCTCCAAAACCTCCGGCCCACAGGTCCCATCACAGAACGCAAAAGCAGAGCAGAGAAACAAGCTCTGCATCCAATGCCCCACTCTCCCTGGCAGCTGCAGCTTTGCAGGAATCCAGAATACTACAGTGTACAATAGTCTGCATTTGATTCTCTACTTTTCCTCCTCGACATCATTTTGCATTCAGATACTATGGAAGCTGCTTCAGCTTATGCAAATCGCAGTTGTCTACACTGGTTGTCCTTCCAGTCTTTGGGAACATATCTGCAGGGTAGGTGCTGACTGCAAACGCTCCATCTTCATTTTGGAGGATCACACAGAATTTGCAGGGATTAGTTGATAGCTTTTTTTGGGAGAAGAAGATGAGAAAGATCTCCTCCTTGGTATCAAACTCTGCAAATCTAAATTTCAAGACTGGATTCCCCTCTTCAGGGGAAGCAACAGTTCTGAAGTTAAAATGCTCTTTTATGATAAAATAAAAATAATAATTTTAAAAACCCCTCCAAAACCCAAAACAATGGACATAGACGTCTGTGTAAGGTAAAGACTAATCGCCACCTTTAAGAATTTAGACACAACTATATTGTTAAAAAACCCAACAAAACAGAACAGAGATGATGAAGATATCTTCATTCTTATAAACTGTATGACATCTAAATAGCTACTGTGAAAAACAAGCTGCAACAGCTCTATAAAGCTGCACACAAGCTGAAAGGAAGGTGACACTTCAACAGAGGAATCTGTTGCATGACAGTTTTCATTGACAGATACTTTTATTAAAAGTAAAGCTTCACCAAAGACACCATTGGAATTTATTTTTCTATTTATGCATATCTACATGTACACACACTAACTGAAACCCATTGCATTCATAGATCTACATGTCCAGTGACAGAAAGCATCCAACACTATTCCACACACTCCATACTGGCACTTGCACATGTACAGCTTGGCACACAAAGAGTAAATATAAAACTTATATTCCAGATGTAGGCTTGTGTTTTTCACAGTAAGAAAATAAATCCATACAAAATAGAAAAGTTAAAATATAAACATTTGACTGATTCCTCACAGTCTGTTCTATCCTGGCTGCCTGGCATCCATCCTTTACAGGCCAGAAGTTTCACAGATGGAGTTTCAAATGCCCAGCAGACACATCAGAAGCTAGTTTTTCAAAGGTGCCCAATGCACAAAGAGCTGGCATCTTTTGATGTCAATCTAACCTAATCATTTATTAAGATTTCCAATGCAAACTATTCTTAAAAAATATCTTCCCAATGCAAGTCAGAAGAATTTGGGAAAGCTTTTAGAACTTAAGTATTTTTTAAAGCTTGTTTCCAGCATTAGATACCATTGTTATCCAAGATATTTGGCAGGAGATTTGTATTCACTTAGCTGACAAATCATAAAATACAACCAATTCTTCAATCTCAACCTTATCAAACACTGATCAAACATCAGCAAGAGCCTTGATTGTTATGAAAGGCACATTATTGCTGTTAGAGACATTCTTGTTCATTTTCCTCTGGAGAGAGGAGGAAGTTTTTGCAGAATAGGTTATAGTGAATCTATGAAAACAGTAATGATCAAGCTCTTTGCTCCTAGATTAGTCAGAACTAAAGACTCAAATACACATATTACAGGCCCTACATCGCTCTGACTCCATTTGAGGAAATCCTGCTGCTTTCAACAGTATTCAGCAAATGAAAAAGGGCAGTAGCCTATTTTTCTCGGCTTATTTGTCTATCTGTGCATTTACTTGCACACAAAAAAAGCAATTAATTCATTTCTATAATTTCATTTAGAAAAAAAAGATCATCATAGTGGTTTCTTTAACTGTTATGTCATATCTTAGTCATATTTAAAGAAATGCTACTGCACGAAGATTCCCATGAATCTTTCTGTCACCAAAGAAAGATTTTAGGTAGCAAATCTTATGAAGTCCTGTTAGAATTTGTATCCTAATTCTGAAGGCACAGCGCTAACAGTATAATACCAAAATAAGAATGCTGAACTCACAGCAGATCATTACTTCAGAACACTGAAAAGACTAAACAACAGCCTGTATCTCTTCACATGCAACCACTCTAAAGAAAAACATCAAACAAATGACTTGCATCTTATTCACTGACATTATACTCAACATAGGAATGCTAACTGAGGGAAAACGTGTATTTTTCTGAATTATTTACCTCGAGAACTAGCCAAAGCTGGTCTCCATTTTTCACATCTTTCTTATAGTACATGCCGTAGAATTTGACTACATTGGGATGATCAGAGAGAGCTTTCAAAATGTTGTACTCAGCTTCAATTTCTTCATCAATATCCTAGAGTCACAAATGAGAAATACATAGCAGTCAATAAATTAATAATGATAGCCATTTAAAAAAACCCAAACAAAACCACATAGCCTTTTCTGGCTATTTAAATGTCATTTGAAATAATGTAAAGAAAAAAAAATTAAACAGAACATGAATGTACCATTTGCAGGTTTACAAAGCCTGGGTCTATTTACTCAATACGAAACAGTCATTTGGTTTTTACTCAGTCTTTACCAATTTCAACTAATGAACATAAGGGGTATGACAGAGCAGCCCTCAGGAGAATGGAGAAGGAGCACTTCAAGGCAAAGCCAGTGCAATCCACAAGTGGGTAGGTACAGACTGGAGCGTTTTTGGGAGAGCACGCAGATGCCTTGGGAAGTTGCAGGTCACTTTTCTAGTCTCAAGGGTATCCCCCGTTAGAGATGGTGCAGCTGGAATTACCTCTCTACCCCTCTGTGCACAAACAAGTATGACTGCAGCCACATCTTACTCATTTATCATCCCACTTTCTAGAAACATCTGGGAATTTTTCTCATTTTCTACTATCACAGAAATTGGTGACATCTATGATCTCTGTGACTTCTTGCACCGAACTGTAGAGTTGTGGCTTTCTGTCAGTCTTTCATTACAGACCTCATGTTTCTTGCACAGTGAGCAAGGGAAGTCCACTTGGAGGTGAGAGATGAGGACAAGGTTTGTCAACACATGCACCAGGAGCTGTGCAAGCCCTTTCAGGCCAAACATGGATGCTAGCAATGGTGGGCACCAGATGACTTGGGTAATCCCTTCCACCTATGCACTGGAAGAGCTCATTCAGGGACACTATCAGACTGTGTTTCAGTCATGCTGAGAAAATATTCAATCCATCCCGGCCACAGGTAGAGGCAGAATAGCTGTAGTCATTTCCCCCCATTGTTTAGATCTCAAAAAAATGTTAACATACTTGTTTCCAGATTTAAAACACTTTAATGCAATTTGCTATTTACAATCACCTAAAAAGATATAGAGAAATGAAAAATCAATTCTAGCGCAAGGCTACCTATGAACTCCACTATCCATATGAAAGGATTTCATATTAGTGAAAAACACCTACTCAGTGCTGAAAACCTGTCTCATCACTGCCAAACGGAAGGGACCATGGCAGAGAAAAGGGATGCTTTGCAGTGCCAGTGAATGACACTCCCTCTCATTTTGTTCATCACCAAAGTCATCTGCCCCTAAGAGGATATTGCTCATTTGTTTCTCACAGAGGTCTCTCCAATGCTAAGTCCAACTCAAGTTCCTCATACTAGCCTTTGGCTATTTCTTAACTGGTCTCAAAGAATTTTGCCCGTCACGGATTGGGCTGTTCAACTTTCATACTGAGATTACAAGAGTAAGTCTTCTCACAAGGAGGGGCTTTAGAGGTTTTTTTACTGGAGTAGTCAAAAAATAGCAGAAGTTTTCCTATTTCACAAAAAGGAGGAACTTGCTGTAAGTTAATTTTCCCATAAGCACAATACAGAATACAGCCAATTAAAAAAAAAAAAAAGAGAAGCAAGGAAGGAAGAACAGAGGTACTGAAGGTGGCAGAGGACGGAAAAGGAAAGAGCGGGAGATAAGAGGGGATGAAGAAAGAGAATGCATCTGGTAAAAACAAAAGGACAGATCATAAAGCAAAAAAAAAACCCAAAAACAAAACCCACCCAAAAAACCCAAAAAGTCAAAAGCCAAAAAAAAAACCCTACACACAAAACATGCAATAGTTCTATCTGCCTTGGGGAAACTGAAAGAGAATTAGCCCACTGTCCTACTGTGATTTAATAGAGGTTTCTGTCTCCTGAGAGGTACTCAGATTTTGTGAGATTTTTACTATTAGGAGGAGAAATGAAAAGAGAGAGAATGAAATTAATGGAATATTCATTCAGTGCACACTAGTAAGAAAAATCTTCCTCTACATTTCATGAAAGAAGAGAACTTGAAATATTTGGTTCAAATTGAACATATTTACCTGCATGAAGCATAGCCACAGGTAGTACCTCTTCTAGAAATGGTAGAGGGAATATTTTCAAATGAACTTAGATATAGCATAATTTGGCTAAGAGCCCTAAAGTACAATGGTATTTACTTACAGCCCTTAGGACAAAACTACGAGCATCCTCAGTTCCATCTTCATATATTGTCATTTCAACACTTTTACTTTCCTGTTTCACTTTCAAAAATCTGAGCTGTTATACAACATAAAGAATGTGAGAGCTCTAAAGGATTAAGCATTAAATGCTTATTTCAGTTTCACATCACCCATGATAATGTAGTTTCCCAGTTTAATTTGGAAATATCAGTTAAATCAAGTGATATAAAAGCATATTTCTTCTGCCCTTTTTTCAGTTCACCTCTCAACTGGCACAATTCTGAAACCAACTTCAAAGAAAAAATTGTAAAATTTGAAGAAGAAAATAGAGAAAGTACCTTTTTCTTCATTGCAATGGCTCCCTCTGCAGCCATTAATAATACTTTCAGTTTAAACAAAAAGAACTAATTTATTCCTTTCACCCTAGTTCTAATATTGGATTGCCATTTTAGCAGCTACTCCAGACCTCCTATAAATAGGAGGGGGAAAAGAATACTATTCTACTTAGAATTCTTTAGCAGAATTCTAATTATAGAATTATAATTCTAATTATATGTAGAATTTTTTAGCAGCCTTCCAGTACCTAAAGGGGGCCTACAAGAAAGCTAGAGAGGGACTGTTTACAAGGGCACAATAGGACAAGCGGTAATGGCCTTAAGCTGAAGGAGGGGAGATTTAGATTAGATGTTAGGAAGAAGTTCTTCACTGTGAGGGTGGTGAGGCGCTGAACAGGTTGCCCAGAGAAGCTGTGGATGCCGCATGGATGGAAGTGTTGAAGGCCAGGTTGGATGGGGCTTTGGGCAACCTGGTCTAGTGGAGGGTGTCCCTGCCCATGGCAGGGGGGTTGGAACTAGGTGATCTTTAAGGTCCCTTCCAACCCAAACAAAAATAAAAAAAGGAAATAATTAAGAATAAAATGGAGAATATATTCAGATAAAAAATTCAAGTCTTGGAGTGTGATGCTGACTGCATTACTGACTTCCATGTTTTCACTAAAATAAGGAATCTGTTTTCATTACTTATACCTCTTCCCTTCTTCAATTTATGTTCATCTTTATCCACTGTATTTCTTCTGAATTCTTCACATTCTACTGCCTTATCTCCTGCTTAATCTATTTCTCTTTCCCCTAGCATCAGCTTTACTGCCTTTTCCTTCTTCCTGTCATCATTCTTTATCCTTTTCCTACAACCTCCAAAGTGTACACAACATTGAAATTCTCCCCCATACCTTCAGTAATCCCTGCCATAGCCAGCTGCCGCGTAACAATCATTCCTGAACACTTGTGAAACAGATGAAAGCAGGAGCATTTCCTGCTATACAGGCATTTAGATGAACACCAACTGCAAGAAAGTCCTGCCTATTCATTGTAAGCACAAGAACCTCATTTACAGAAAGCAACAGAGTCAAAAATAGAGTTTCCAATGCATTTGAATTCATCAAGATACTTATCACTTGGTTGCAAATCATGTTTACTTTGGGAGAGGTAAGTGATATTGAATTGAGATGAGCCTCCTTTTGTTGCTTTGAAAGCATGCTGAAATGAAAAGCAGAACAACAAGAAACACATCAAGAATAATGCAAGACGCTATGTTTTCACAAACACATTTTCATGGAGTTATGGGCCACGGGATCATAATTTGACACTGTGTGATATGCAGGGGTAGACAGAGCCCTGTGTGGCTGTGCAGTGCCAGACCTGCAGTGTTTCACAGAGCATGACATGGTCTTCCCTTCCGGCCCAGATGTCGTGCAATGGAAGCACACGCGTCACAACCCCATACTGTGAATGCAAGAGATGAGCTCAAAGGGGCCACCTGAAACAGGGACAGCTCCCTCTCCATGTTTTGTGGGATACTGTTCTCAAGAAAAATCCCAAGCCAGAGGCAGCACCACTGAAGTCAACAGGGTCTGCCTTTACAAACCAGAATAATGTTCTTCCTCAGTCTTGGAGCATTAATTAATCTGCCTCTCAACAAATGTCAGTTACTGAGAACAAAAACATACTCTACAACATAATAATTCCACCTCCCAGTCACCTGGTGCTTTGTATGTAGGAGCTATTGCCTTTGTATTTTCCATTTGAAAAGATAGATCCCTCTGTGCTATCTACGTATTTTGGCACATTCTGAAAATGCAGAACCAACAACAGCAATAAAATTAAAGTATGCCATTTTATTTTTAAAGTATCACTCATAGCATGTAAGTCAGCTAAAAGCATGTACTCAAAATAGATGCTTGAAGGTACATCTAAAGCACTGAAAACTTTCTTACTGGATAGTATGGAAAAAAAAGAAAGGAAAAACCAGTAAAAATAGAAGAAGCTAGGACTCCTGGTACTAAAAAGGAAAATAACCAGCTCTGCTTCTCAAAGTAAGAGATAAACAAGGGGGAACCAAAAGTAAAAGTAACAAAAGTTTAGGTATACTTCTGACTTCTACCGTATGTAACCAATTCCAAGATCACTTTCAATATGAAAAATGCATTGATAGCTAGGAAATATATTTTAATTAGCAGGCTGAAGCAGTTTATTTCACTATCACTTCTAATGCAAATGATCTACCAAGATTAAAAGAAAAAAAGACTACATAAATTCACTTACAATTAAATAAGCACAAACCAAGTAATTTAAGTCACTTACGTGAACAGGATCCAAAATTTTGACTGCTGCTTTGCTGCCATTTTTCTTATTTAACACCTTGAAAACTTTTCCATATGTTCCTTTGCCAATAGTTTCAATTATTTCCCAGGTATCTGAAGGATCAGGAAAGCTATCAAATATTATTGTTTTCCCAGTCAACGGAAGCATCTCAAATGATTGATCCTAGGAAAAAGAGATTTCGATGTTCACTCAACAAATGGTTAATACAATTGGTTTCCTACAAATGTGAAGAGAAATACACATTCCAATCTCAAACACTAGAAATGTTTTTGCATGTAGAGTGCATGCACTGAAAGCATAATGAACAAGAAATGCTGCACTTAATACAGGTATGTGCATCAACACAATATCAAATGAAGGGAAATTCAAATAATAATTTGAACTAATTTCAGGCTGGTAGTCAAGTCAGTAGAAGCTTTCCCATGCACTTGAATGAAGCTATAATGTCACTCTGGGATTTTTTGAGGCACAGGGGGATGGGGGTCACGTTCATAAAATTCACAAGAATTTGGATCCATTACCAAGTATCAGTCAAGATGGGAAAAAAAAAAAAAAACCACAAAACAAAACATGTTAAATAGTGTCATTTGGTTCATTCAAACTTTTACAGCAAGCAATCAGTTTTATAATCCTACTCCTACCATTTGAATTTTTACATAGATCTCATAAGGCCAAGCAGATCAAAGTGGCAGATATTTTCACAATATTATGGTCTTCTGACAGCCAAGCATTCAGAGTCATGGAAAATGTGTTTACTGATGTACATTCATTAACAACTGTTTTACATACTGTAAAGGAAACACCTTTTACAATGATGGAATTGTATCCATCACTGACCAGGTTACACCTATGCCCTGGTCGATGATGGATACAGTTCACTTACCCATGCCTTTGGCATGACTAACCATCCAGCAGCCACAGTGGTGAAACAAAGCAGCACCCCCCCACACACCAACAAACAACAAAACAGAAACCTCATTTTTACCTGTTGTTAAGAACGACCAAAAACTCAGTAGAAGTATGTTAAAAATTACATTCTTGTATTCCTAACTGTATAGCCAAGACTAAAAAGAGAAGGGGCTGGGAAGAGGACAGACTCAAGCCCTTACTAAGTGAGCAATAAATAAGCGAGCCAGCTACTGAGTGCTTAAGTCGTTCCCGAGCACAATATGCAGTAAACTAGCCAGGTTTGGAGAGTCATTTTCTTATACTTATTTTTTAAATTTTTATAGAATACTTTATAAACAGACCACAATGTAATGATTCTTGGATTTTTTTTTATGTCAGCAGCACAAATCTACACACATAAAGCATTTCATACAGTATTATTCTAGTGACAGAAATGCACTCTTGATACCATACTACTTTTTTTTATAATGAAGAGAATGGCTTTGATTTCCATTTCATCCATGGCTTCCAGCATACTAGCCTTACTTTCTTTATTCATCTGCTTATTCATATAACCATGTATATCCCCCTACACATGCAGCATGTATATCCCCCTATACATGCAGTATGCATACCAACTAGAAGCAACTGAAATGGACTGCTATACAAACACACGTTGTACCAGCTTCTTCAATTATCTGATATGCATACTGGCACATCATGTGTATTCAGACTAATTTTCTACTGGATAATACAAGCTCGCCTGGGGAACCCAGGGCTTGGGATTCTTCCCATCATTCTGCTCTTGGCTGATTAGCTCACTAATGAGCGAGAAGACAGGGTTTTCTTCTCTCTCTCTCCTCCTCCCCTTCCCTTTTTTTTTTAATATATACATGACTATTACCAACTTCTACACCCGCTTATGCAGCAAAGTGGTGAAACATCCTCTTAACATCAGGAAACCTGCAGCAGCCTGCTGAGTGCCAAGGACTATAACCAGTACTGGCCCATCACCTTGATTTCAAGGGCTGTGGGAACAAAATGACCCAATTTTACCCGTTACAATGAAACCCCCTTAAAACAAATCCAGGTTAGGTTCAAAGTAAAGACAGAGGATCAAGATCTGGAGACATGTAGCTGCAATATGTAGATCCTCAAATTTCCATTCCAGATTTAAAAATTGCTTTTTCCTTCTATCCAATTCTCCCCCTGGGACTCATATTCACAACTCAGCCAGGACATTGATTGCAGTCTCTTCCAAAGGTATCACCCTTCTGCCTCATGCCCAGTATTTATCCATGCCTTCGGAGCTTCATCACTTCCAGGCAAAGCCACCTCTTCCCCAGAAAATGAACACAAATGAGTTAGTTACAACATTTTTTGGGAACTTTTTCTTTTGCCTGTAAAATAGTGCTCAAATACAATCACCCTGTATTTTTGTTTGTTTGTGTTTTTCAATCACTTTATATAAAAATGCTTTGTAATTAGCTCATAATTAGGCCTACACAAAATAATAACCAAATTGGGGATGATAAAGGGATTAGGATTCATGATCTCAAACTCTTGCTTTGAGGGATTCAACAATGATGCAATTTCAAAATTTCTCTTGCTGAGCTTTAGTTTTTAGAATTGAGGTTAACTCTTTGTTTAAGGTTTTACTGGATATTCAATCCATAACTGGTGATTTTTTTTGAGAAAACAAGTAGAGCTATCAATGGGTGCCTTCATAATAACTGAGATGTCAAAATCATATCAGAGCCTGCCTACATACAAATTCTTTTCTACAGAATATGTAGTTTTCCATCAAAATCTAGAGCCTGCTATGTCCCACATTACAAAAGTACACAGTAAGAGCCTCTGACCCAGGCAGCTTACAGTAGGAGATGCTCAGAATTTGCAGGAAGGAAGACTCCTTTCCTCCCTTTCAAAGATGAGTACTGAAGTTAAAGACCAACTTCAAATATTTAGCCTCTGCCAGAGCCAAGCAGGGAACTCTGATACCTTGAATCTCAAAATATATCCTGAAGCAAAGGTCCACCCCTCCACGCAGAGGTTTTACAGCAAGTGGAACGTTCTAAGAAAAACCGTGTACATCAAAACCCACAGCGTCAGACATCTTCCCAGGCTTCACCAACTCCTTACACATGAACAGAATGCAGCTGAAATTCATTGACTCCCAGTATCAGTTGCTTATTTGTCTGCGGAGACTAGTACAAGCAGATCTGTTAAAGGACTGAGGAAACATGATCCTGCAGGTGTTATGTGGCTCCCAGAGAAAAGTGCTAGCGACACTCTCATATGCTTGCATTTTCCTCTGCAAATCACACCAGTTGCATATCATCTTAAGAAAAGTCACCACATACTTAACAATAATGCATTCAGTAGCTGTCACACTCAGTTCAATAATTTAAGAATGCTAGTCCAGAAAGAATTACACTCTCTAATCCTTTGTCTTTTGATTTACAGCTTCAAAATCATGACTTGAATAAGTTATATCGAACACCGTATTTCCTCACTTCCACCATGTTTAAGAACAAGCCCCTGCAGAGAAATTGTTTAGCATCCACCTCTATTATTAAAAATATATTAAATAGAATGATTTCAAGTGTTCTGGGTGATGAATAATGTTTTATTACATCTCAGTGAAGTTGAGAAAGCTGATAATGATTTAACCTCATATTTCAGCAATAAATTGGACTGTCTGGAATATGTCTGGATGCCCAAACAACTGGGTAATTTATCACACCACTCACCATGAAAAATTTACTTTACAAAATACAACTTACAACTTGATCCAAACTTCTGAGCTAGGAATGTACCCTTGAACCTCCATAAAAACCCTTTAAAATATTTCTGGTGTGCACAGCGTGACAGGTCACTCAACTCCTGCTCAGATTTTGGCTCACCCGACTCCTGCTAAGGCCTGATGAATGCGGTGAGCAGCACCATTAGTCCAAAGCAAGACCACCGGGGAGGCAGGACAGGTGGCCAAAAAGAGCTAAAGGGTCATTCTGCACCATTATCTCTGGCTAATTCCTGTCTCTAGCAGCCAGTATCTTTTGTCTGCAGTTTCCTCAGAATCTGCTAACTTAGGGAAATAGTATAGGCCAAACCTCCAAGCTGGAAAGTATAAAACATCAGCTCACCAAAAAAGCTTTTGAAATGGATCCAGCAGCAGCTGGACTACTGAGGCTTTCCTGCTTCCCATGTGATACAGGGGGCAGGGGACCCTGATGGAGGATGAAGGATGAGCACCCTCACCCTCATCTTACTTTTGTTTATAAGTTATGAAATGGTGAATATGTGAATTCATGTGACAGGCTAGCCTGGGCAAAAGGGGATTGAGTCCCTGCTTGTCATGTTTGTTTGTTGTATTTCTTACTGAGCTCATGAAATAAAGTTTATATGGCAGAGTACGCTGTCCCATAAATTTGAGAGATCCAAACGGACCATGACACTTAAAGTGGTTAAATTCAGGGTATTCAGGGTGGGGAAAAATAGTTTTGGAGTTATAAGACAAAAAGCCAATGTGGTTCGGGTTTTGGTTTGTTTGTGCTTTGTTTTGTGGTTGGCTTTGGGATTTTTTTCCCCTCTAACATGGGGATCTGCTGTCAGTGATCTGGCTGTCACAGTTATAAGAACAAATTGGGTGAGAACTCTTACAAGCCAGCCCTATGTGATTTTTTGCTTCCTAGGTCACATCAAACATACACACTCTATGCAGCAGACCTTGGGTCACATACTAGAGATATCCAGAGATGCCCTGTTTAGTATCAATGCTGGCAGATCACTGCATTCTCCATCATTTTCAATATCTAGCTAGTTTGGAGAAGGACGGAAAGGGGCAGCCTCATGAAGAACAGAGTGTATCTCCTGTAGACTATCTGATTGCTGCAAAGGCAATTCAATGAAGCACATTTATCACACCCCAAACTTAAGACACATACCAATTGCACTGTTGAGAGCTTTATGGTCAAGGCCACAGTGTGTTACAAACCACAGAAACAAGTGGGAATCAGCAATAGGTTTTGCTTCTTCAGGCTGGGTTGCAAACACAACGGAGCCTGAATTTCACATAGAATATTACATGTTAATCCAGTATTTTTACTACTGTTTCATACCACCTAAGTTTGCAACTTCTTTCTAAACACACACCTCACCCCCCGCAATAGTTTCTGAATGGACCTGCATCTCACTTGGATGAAAGCAAACCCATTTCCTCCTTAAGGAGCCGATAAAACAAGAGAGGCACCTTGCTTCAGGTCATTC